AAGCAGAAGAATTTGCCCAGAGATGTGGTGATTTACTTTACAAAGAAGTCCCTGCGGAATGAGATCATACAAGCTTTTTACAACAAAAGATTTCAGATTGCCGCCCAAGATGTCATCATTCTAAAGGAAATCCCATCCAAAATTTTAAGAAGTAGGAAAGACTTTGCTTTTTTAACCAATGAGCTTAAAGCTAGATCGATGCCATTTAGATGGGAAATTCTGATGGGTATCGTTTTGAGCCATGCTGGGACACGCTACAGATTGAACACAGTTGACAAAGCTAGAGATTTTTATACTTCGGTCCTGAGTGCAGGCTCAACTTCATCTGGTCGGAAATCTTTGAGTGGTAAGGAAGTTGAGCAGCAATCTGAGGCATTAGATTTGGTTTCCGCAGGGATGATAGAAGCGGTAAAGCAACGCCAGACGGAGGCTAAAGAGCAGAGGATGACTCGTGCAGCCTACAAGCGTAAAGAGAAGGAGCAACGTAAAAAAGAGCCCAAAGAGAATTCTCCTGGAAGTCCATCACCGCCGGTGGGAGGAGCAAGACCCAAGAGTTATGCAACACACGCAGCTCTGTCAGAATTTGATGGTGTCTTCTCCAGGCTGCGTGCCAAGGGAGATGGCAAAGTTTTTGACCTGGAATGTTAATGGATTGAATTCTCCTCAGAAACGGAAAAAAATCTTTTATTATTTGAAGCAATATACCAATGATGTTATTTGTTTACAGGAAACTCATATTTTACTTAAAGACCAGAAATATTTAGTTAATGCTCGTTTGGGATCTCATTTTATATCTCCTGCACCTGGGAAGAAAGGGGGAGTTGTTATATATGTTAAACAAAACCTACCAGCTTGTCTGGTAGAATCAGATCCCCAGGGGAGATATGTGATGATTGAACTTGGTATATATGGTAAGAAAGTACTTATAGTTGGACTTTACGCTCCAAATCAACAACAGGAACAATTTTATAAACAGTTACATCAAAAAATAACTTTGCTTGATTATAGATCAGTGGTATTAATGGGTGATTGGAATGGTGTCTTAGATACACAAAGGGATAAGAAAGGTTCCTCTCCTTTTCTTAAACAAGCAAGGCTACCTAAAGCCTTTTTTGATATGAAAGAAGACTGGGAATTAAGGGACTATTGGCGGGAACGTAATCAAGAGGAGAGAGACTTTACTTTTTTTTCTGATAGACACCAATCTTTTTCAAGAATTGACTTTTTCTTGATTACCACGGACTTGTATAATAAAGTAAAGAATGTAAAGATTTTTCCTAGATCACTGACGGATCATAGTCCAGTTTGGATGGAGCTGATTCAAGAGAAAGAGGAAAGAAGATCCTGGAGAGTTAATGAAAATTTGTTTAGACAAGAGAAGAATGTTCAAAAATTAAAGGAGTGTTTAAAGGACTATTTTGCTTTGAATATGTACAAGGGGACTTCAATGTCAATGGTATGGGATGCAGGTAAAGCATTTATGCGCGGTGTTTTGATAAAAATGAATAATTTTTATAAGCGAAATCAGATTCAGAAACGTAGAGAACTTGAAGATGAAATTAAATTAAAAGAAAGGGCTTTGATTTTAAATCCTTCTGATGAGAGTATTAAAGAATCTGTAAAGTTATTAAGGTCACAATTTAATATGTTGATAGCAGACCCAGCTGCAACCAACTTATTATTTATGAAACAAAATACATTTTGTAATGCCAATAAGCCTGGGAGATGGTTGGCTTATCAATTAAGAAAGAAACAGAGACAGAGAATAATAGAGAAAATAAACTATAAGGGTAAACTAGTCTCTCAGAAGGAATTGATTAAAAAATCTTTTTTGGATTATTATCAAAACTTATATAAATCTACTAATGTACAAATGCTAGATATAAATAAATATTTAGCTGAGGCAAATTTTCCTAAACTGACTGAGGATCAGAAATATGAAATTAATGGTTTAATTACTAAGGAGGAAATTACCTCAGCAATTCAACAATTGAAATTAGGGAAAGCACCGGGTACGGATGGGTTAACAGCTGTTTATTATAAAGTTCTAATAGAGGAGATGATCCAACCATTACATAATCTTTTTAATGGTATTTTACAGGGTTTGGAGATTCCTCCTTCATGGCGTAGTGCTTTTATATCATTGATTCCAAAGGAGGATCAAGATCTTACCTTACCAAAAAATTACAAGCCTATATCTCTTTTAAATGTGGATTATAAGATATTTGTAAAAATTTTGGTAAATAGGCTTATGAGGGTGGTGCATCATCTTGTGCATAAAGATCAATCAGGATTTATAACAGGAAGGTATATGAAAAATAATGTCAGACAAATTATTAATTTACTAGAATACTTAGACAAGAACAACCAAGTTCCTGCAGGGCTCATATTTTTAGATGCTGAAAAAGCATTTGATCAATTGAATTGGCATTTTATGTTAAGAGTAATGGAAGAAATGAATTTTGGTGAAAAGATATTACAATCCCTTACGGTAATATATCAAAAACAAACGGCACAACTTATTGTTAATGGAGGTCTGTCGGAGGTTTTTACAATAGAGAAAGGTACTAGACAGGGGTGTCCTTTATCGCCATTGTTGTTTGTTTTAACATTGGAAATATTATTGATCAAAATTCGAGAGTCTCAGGAAAATAAAGGAATATATGTTAATAAAAAAGAATATAAGTTGAGAGCTTTTGCGGATGACTTGGTTGTTACTTTGTCGCAACCTGATTATTCTGTAGTAAACTTATTACAGTTGATTCACCATTATGGTTTGGTCTCGTGTTTTAAGATTAATGTAAATAAGACTAAAATTTTACCTAAAAATATGTCGAGTCAGGAGAAGCAGATTTTGGTCAACTTGACGGGTTTGGAGATTGTTAATAAGGTAAAATATTTGGGGGTGATGCTGTCTGTTTCTAATGCAAAATTATTTAAAAATAATTATGAAAGGTTGTGGGTCAGGGTACAGAAGGACTTGAAGAACTGGGAAAAGCTACAATTATCCCTCATGGGAAGAATTGCAGTGATAAAAATGAATATTCTACCCAAGTTTCTTTTTTTGTTTCAAATGTTACCAATTTTGAAAAATGAGATTAATTTAAATGAGTGGCAGAAGGGTCTCAATAAATTTATTTGGGCTGGGAAAAAACCAAGGGTTAAGTTCAAAATAATGCAAGACTTCTGTGAGAGGGGTGGACTTAAGGTACCAAATTTGAAATTATATTATGATGCGGTGGTTTTAACATTAATTAGTGATTGGGTAAATTCGACAAATTCTGAGATACTTTACTTAGAGGGATGGGATCTACTTTATGGGTGGCATGCCTATTTAATATTTAATAAAAAAATAGATTGGGCTTTTAAATCTCATATTTTAAGAATTTCTTTACTTAGGACTTGGAGAAAATATTATAAAAGTGATTTTAAAGTACCATTATGGGCTATACCTTGGCATGCGATAGAAGGAATAAAAAGAGGGGTTAAAATGGATATGGTGTCTTATAGACAGTTACTTAAATGGGATGGACAGAACTGGCAATTAAAATCACGGGAAGAGTTAGCACAAGAAAATCTTATTTATTCTTGGTTCCAATATAGGCAACTACTAGATAGATGGAAGATGGATTATAAGGTGGGTTTTCTTAGAGAAGATGAAAATCTTATTAAGCAACTGAAGGATCAAAGACAAACCCACATTAAGAGAATTTATGGGGTTTTAGTTGAATTGGACTCAGAAACGGAACTAATTAAAGATTGTATGATTAGATGGGCGCAGAATTTTGGTGAGCCAGTTTCATTGGACACCTGGGAAACTATTTGGGTGAGAAATGTCAAATTTACTCAAGCACAGAACTTAAGGGAGAATTTTTACAAAATGTTTTATAGATGGCACCTTGATCCACAAAAAATGTCTTATATGTATCCTGACGTGCAACCCAAATGTTGGAGATGTGGTTATAAGGAGGCTTCTTATTATCATATTTGGTGGTCATGCAGAGAGATAAAAGCATTTTGGATTAAAATATGGTGGAATATCCAGATAATTTTTAGAAGGAGGGTAAAATTTACTCCGCAATTATTTTTGTTAGGCATTGTTACAGATTGTGATACAAAGGAGGTTGTATTGATGTTAAATTTGATTACAGCCGCTAGGCTGTTAGTAGGACAATATTGGAAGAAGGAATCTTTGCCTACATTGCAGGAATGGTTTCTTAAAGTAGCTTATCTGGCGGAAATGGCAAAGATTTCGGCTTTCTTAAAGCAACAAACGCAAGAGAAGTTTTTTGCTGTTTGGGACAAATGGATAAAATTTATACAATTTAGATTGGGTATACAAAAATATTATATAGCCTTTTCATAAGTTTTATTTTTACATATATTATAGATATTTTTTTATATATATAAATATAAAGTTTTTAATTTAATTTTTATTTTTATTTCTTAAGCCTATATTCTGCTCTGGGAAGCTCAGGGGGGGGAAGGGAGGGTTTTTGGGAGGGGTGTGGGATGGGGTTTTTTTTTTATATATGTATTGTTTAGTTTTCTTTTTTTGTATATGTTGTCTTTTGTTTTGTATTGTTTTTGTTTTTTTTGTAAAATTTATAAAACTTTTAATAAAAAAAAAAAATGTCATCAGACAGAAAGATCTCTAGAAGATCTAACGATCTCTAGAAAATACCTGAATTGGATATTCATAAAACGTTGACATATCTAGTCCTCCCAGTTAGGGTTCTACCCATGTTCTTTTCTAGAATTCTCAATTTCTCCTGTATCTCTACCCCCAGTATTTAGCATTTTGTGTATGCTTACTCATTGGACTCTTTGGAAATGATTACTCTCTGAGACTTGTGAGTGATGGTGATAAAGTATGTGCAAAACTGTTTATCTTTGTAACAGTTGTGCCATTTGGGCTGCAAAAGGAATAAGACTTAGGGAATGAGATTGCTATTAGTTATTCCTATTACAGTATGGAGTAAAATGTTCTGTTTTCCAAGGTATTCTGATCCCCATGATGGAAACAAAGAAAGAACAAAGAACAATCGATCTAGTGAGGTTAGTCTCCCAGGAGCAATTATCAAAGATGTTACTGAGGGGCTTATTAAAATAATTAAATCCACAGATTATTATTCCTTTTCTATTCCCCATCCATGACACCACAAAGACCTTGAAAACAATATCAAGAGACTATGAACAACTAGGCATGAAAGTCAAAGAAATGAGTGCCTAGGTGGTGTTCTCACACCTAGTGAAGATGTGCAGGACTTTTGAAACAAACCATTTGGGATGGTGCTATCAAGAGAACTTTGGATTCTTACACCCATGGACTACAATACCTCATTTCTGGCAGGGAATGAGTTACACCTCACAAGAACTGGGAAGAATAGCTTAGAAACCAATTGCCTTTCCTTATCCATAGGGCTTTAAACTAAAACTGGAAGCAGAGGGAGACAAATTTTTAGAAGCTAATTCCAAGCACAAAGCTCAAATCAACCAAATGTTTTTTAAAAAGGGGAACTCAGACACAAAACAGGAGAAGTAGAAAATAAACACAGCGTTAGTTATAAAGGACTCTGATGCCTGTACACTAATACTCAAAATATGAGGAACAAACAGAATGAATTTGAAATTCTAGTATAGAAGGCAGACGTGACATCACTACCATTACAAAACTTGGTGGGGTGAAATTCATGACTGGAATGTATAGCTAGAAGGATTTAAACTGTTCAAAAGAAACAGACCTAATAAAAGAGGTGGAGTTGCACTATATATAAGAAATAACTACACTTCTATAGAAATGCAACACAACAGTGATGAAAAACTTCTTGAAACCATTTGGATTAATATAAAAGGAATGACATTGCCATAAGTGTATATAGTAATACACTATTACTAGTGAATACTAATCAAAGAGAGGAAATAGAAGAACTGTTTGCTAATCAGTTAGCTACTGGAACTATATAAAGACCTAATTCATAAGCTACAACCACTACTAGCACGTGACCTTGTTTCTCAGTTAAGAGGCCATGCAATTGCTTCCAAAGCATGGTTTGACAAAGACTGTGTAGAAACCAAGAAAGACCTTAGCATATAAAATGCACAAAACTGAGGCTAGAAATGGCAGTAAAACAATTCTTAAAGATCTCACACTTACCACTGGAAAGCATTTTTGCTTGCAAGGTGCCATGCACTTCCATTGGCTATCCTGCATGGCAAATATAAAAAGATACCATTGATTGAAAGATTCTGTGGCTCAGAAAAAGTGGGTCAGGAGAGATGAGAACAGTTGGACATACATTCCTTTGAAGTTCATTTTATAGAGATATTAAAAAACATGTTCTCCCAATAATCAATAGATATCCTGGCTATTCCAGCACTACTTATCTCCAGTGGCTGCTTAAGAATGAACAGACTGTGATTATGTGCAGGTGGTTAGATTCTGTGCAGCAGCACTGGGAATTTGTCGGAAACACATAATTAATTCATCAGAGCTATTTTATACAATGCAGCGAACCCTTTTGCATTACTACTCTTTTGCATTTTAGTATATAATGACTGCAAGCCTCACAGTTTAAGGATTGCTATTAGGGTATAATTAGGCCATGTTGTGTTTTGCTCATGTGTGACAGATTGGATACCAAACTGTGATTTTAATATTGATTTTATCTGATATTTATTATTTTATTCTAGAATGTTTAACTGGATATTCCTTCAGTGTTTTGAACTTGCTCTGGTTTTTGGTTTCTAACCTGTAGTTAGCCACTACTTAATATTGCACACCACAATATTAATGGGGGACTTTGACTACCCTGACATCAGCTGGGAGACAAACTCTGTACCTACTGGAAAACCAAACGTATTCCTGATGAACCTAGCACACAATTTTGTCTTCCAAAAGATAGAGAAGGGGACTAGAGAGTCAATCATACTGCACTTAATTCTCATTAACAGAGATGAAATGATAGAAGGGATTGAAGTTACAGGAACTTGGGGGTGGGCGAGCAGTCATGCAATATTGGAATTTATTGCAAGCTCAGGCAATGGAGCAAAATCAAAGAGTCTTGAACGTTAAGAAAGCTGATTTCAACAAAGAGTGCTTGGGAAGGATTCCAGGGATGGAAATCCCTACGGAAAAACAATTCAAGAAATTTGGGAAACTTTAAAAAGTGAAATTATAAAAACTTAATCTAGCACAATACTACTGGTTGCACAAAAAACTTTCTGATAAAAGGACAAATATAAAAAGTAGAAAGAGGGGCATATAACTAAGGTAGAATATCAACAGATAACCCAAAACTGCAAAGATGAAAACTAAAGCTTAGAATGAAGGCTGGGAGGATCCTGGAAAAAGATAAGCAATGAATCTGCAAACACCTAGAGACAAACAAAGTTATAACCAAAAGTCTATATTTTGTCAAAAATAGATCAGACAAAACTTACTACACTTTTTGACAATGCTGTAGACATCATTTACTTAGATTTTAGTAAGGCATTTGATAAAGTAGACCACAATCTTCTCTTTTGTAATATAGAAAAAATTGAGCTAGACAACATCATCAGATGAATTCATAAGTGGCTGACTAACCACACTCAATATGTAGTTGTTAATGGAACCCATATCTACATAGAGGAAAGTATGTAGGAGAGTACCTACAGTACCCAGTACTCTTCAATGTCTTCATAAATGATCTAAATGAGGGAATAGAAGGGGAACTCATCAAATTTGCAGACAACACTAAGCTGGCAGGAATAGCCAATACTTCAAAAGATAGGCTCAAGTTCTAGAAGGAACTTAACAAACTTGAACACTGAGCTTTATCCAGCAAAATGAAATCTATTGGTGAGAAAAGTAAGGTTTTACACTTAGACAAAAAAAACCAAACGTACGAGTGTAAAATAGGTGGTACTTAGCTCAACAGTAGTAACTGTGAAAGGGATCTTGGAGTTGTAGTGGACAATTATTAAATATGAGCCAGTAGTGTGCTGCAGCTGCCAAAAGAGCCAAAACAGTTCTATGCTGCATTAACAAAAAGATAGAATCAAGATCATGTGAAGTGTTAATATCATTTTATAAAGCCTTAGTAAGATCACACATGGAATACTGCATCCAGTTTTGGTCATCAAAATATAAAAAAGATGTTTATTTCTATTTTTTTTTTCAGGGTGCAAGGAAGAGCAGCAAAGACTGCTCTTAAGGGACTGCAAGGTAAAACATATGAAGAACAGTTGCAGAAATTGGATATGTCTAGTCTAATGAAAAGAAGGACTTAGGGTAACATGATACTAGTGTTCCAATATCTAAAGGCTGCCACAAAGAAGACAGGGTCAACTATTCTCAAAAGTACCTTAAGGCAGGATAAGAAGCAATGGATGGAAACTAATCAGGGAGAGATCCAACTTAGAAATAAGGAGAAATTTCCTAACAGTGAAAATAATGAATCAGTAAAACTGTTAGCTTTCAGGAAATATAGGTGTTCCATCACTGGAGATTTTTAAATAAGAGATTGGACAACCATTTATCTGAAATGGTACAGGGTCTCCTGCTTGAACGGGGTTGGACTAAAAGACCTGAAAGGTCTTTCCAGTCCTGTAATTCTGTTAAGTGAGATTTATATAAAGCCAAGTCCTAAACAGCTAATTGGAAGTTTAACTGTGCCTCCATATAACTAAGGTCTAGAAATATTTTTTTCTGATTTAAACAGGGCAATTAAAGGATATGACCAGTTCACTTAATCCAGACATCTCAAACACAAGGCCGGGGGGCCGGATGCAGCCGGCGACGTGGTTTCATGTGGCCCACATCCTGGAAACAGTGAGGGAATGGCCCCTGCTGCCTTGGCCCTGGCCCAGGCCGCCCAGGAGTCAATGTACAATTTTTTGGTGGCCATCTATGCTGAAAAGTGTTCAGTCTTAGTTCCACGAGGCTGTCTGGAAACAGCAAGGGACCGGTCCCTGCTGCATTGGCCCTGTTCCCTGGGTGCGCGCTGGGGAGGTGTCACCCTTTGTGAGGAATGAATAAATGCACCATCGCCTGGAAATGGCCCGCAAATGGCCCTCGCCTACTTCACATATCCGGCTTGATGGGCTCTGGGGGAGGGGTTTCAGCAGGCAGTGGGGCGCTGTCCTCACAGCGCCGCGAGGCTGAGGCAGGCGGCGTGAATCCAAAAAGAAGCTCACCGCTATCCGATTTCAGCAGGCAGCAAGATGCAAAGCTAGCGAGCTTCGCACTGCCTGGCTCAGCCTCTCAGCGTTGTGAGGAGAGTGTCCCGCTGCCTGCCAAAACTGGGCAGGCTGGGGGCTGGATGGCATTGTGCAGGTAGTGTCGACTCTCACGTTGCTCAAGGTGTCCCCTCCCCCAAAGCCCACCAAGCCAGATATGTGAAGTAGGCGAGGGCTATGTGCTGGCCACTTCCAGGCGATGGTGCATTTCTTCATTCCCCATGAAGGGTGATACCTCCCCAGCTGCGTTTCTTGCCTGTTTTTCTCCCTCATATTTTTCCACCAGTCTGTTCTTAGGAAGGAAGGGAGGGAGGGAGGGAGGGAGGGTGGGTCTGAGGGAAATCCTGCCTTAGTCCTGTCCTGCTGCCCTTTCACCATCCCCTTGCCCCCTTCTCCTGGCCTATCCTGGGGATCTCCATCCTATTGCGAAGGAAGCTTTGGATACAAAGCCGGATCTCCTCCCATGGAGAGGGAGTGGGCCTCCCTCTGACTTTGCCCTCATACCCATCATGAGCAACCTGACTAAGGAGAGCAAGCACAGCAGCAGCAGCCTTGAGGAGGAGGTAAGTGCAGCTGGGTGCCCCCTTGGGGAAGTGGGGCTGGGCTTGGTGCCGTGGGTGCTTGAGGGCCAGGCTGTGTGTTTGATCTCTGCTGCCCAGGGCTCCGGGAAGCCCGCAGCACCATCCAGCCCCCCCTTGCATGGCCTGAGAGGAACAGTGAGGCTCTTCCAGTGGACCATGCCTTAGCATTTGCCCCAGGCCCACCCCCTTCTGTCAGAGACCTTCAGATCTGTCCCACTCCTGTCCAGGCCCCCACAGACAACCTTGATGCGAATGATAAAGAGCTGGCCATGCCCACCCAGTAGGCCACACCCACTCCAGCCATGCCCACCCAGTAGGCCACACCCTCCCTGACCATACCTACCTGGCTCCCCGAGGACAACCGCAGTGCTGATGCGGCCTTCAATGAAATTGAGTTTGACACCCCTGACTGCTGAAGATCTTAGGCTATGATTTACTATAATTCAGTACTGAACAACAGAATTCTCTTTGTAATTAAAAATGTACATTTGGTAGTTGTGAGAAATGATTAATTTTGGCTCAAAATGTTATATTGGAAATTAATAAACTTACACTGCAGTTTGTTATTTCAACCAATTATCTCTCAATAAAGATTTAGAAAGCAATACCATGTATGTTTATTTGTTGTAAGCCTTATTGATGCTGTGTGGATCACTTTCTAGTAAATACATTCGGATTGCAGCCTAATATCTAAATGTATTTATTTTCTAGCAAGGAAATATGACCACCAGCAGCAACCACAGAAACAGACTGATAGTGTACAGCTTTTGGTGGAATGAAGTTTTGAATATTTGCTGAGGATGCCAGAGCATTGATGATAATCATTTGCAGTGCAACTTTAATGGTATATAATATTTTTTAAAATGTGCACTAATTGCATAAACTATGTTTTGACTATGAATTTGTGTGTTACTCTAATAATAGTTCTCTAACATCTGAAAAATATAGTAATCTATTCCAGTCTTATTTCTTAATTTGTATTCATTCCCAATAAAAATATGAGCATGGAGATGATCACTGCAGTTCCTGCAGTTGTTTCAAGTCTTCATTTAAAGAGTGATAGAGGCACATACTATTTGATGTGGCATAATGCTGCAAGTAATTCAACTACTTCTATAAATGAACAGTTTCATGTAGTGGGACTTTTAATAAACACTGCACTCAGTGAGGCAGATATATTGAATTGTAATGTGCAACTGAATATGCATAAAAAGATGAAGTTTAGGAAAAGTATTTCTGTATACAGCAATTAGAACAGAAATTAGAGTAAGGAATTCTATCAGTATGATGAAAAAGAATATTTTTGCACTTATCCTTTTAATTGTTTCCCTTTTATTCTCTCTATTGAATTCTGAAATTATAATTTAAGAAATCTTCATCTGATAAATGACTATACACTGTAGTAGTAGTTGTAGTATTTTATGAGTGGGGTGCAACTTACTATTTTAGACCTACAGCTGGAATGCTAAAAGAGGATTATATAAGTTGGAATTCAGATAACAGCACTATTTTTGTCAGTGAAGACTAGACTTATAATGGATAAATATTAATTATTTGTTGGTTTATCAAACACATCAAGCAAAATTAACAGTGGAAATAGAAAATCATTAAATGCTTAAATATTTGCAGTATATTTTATTTGGGCATGTCTGAAAGGTTTTAATTGATTGTATTTTAATTTACATCTTAAACATGGACAATATTTTTTTCAATAATAGACAATAATTTTGGTTATTAAATGGCCAGGTCTCTCTCTCCTAATGTCTTTGTAAGTTTAACTTCTGAATATAGCAACAGTTGCTAAATTTTGCAACCACTAATTCCAATTCTGAGATTCTTTGGGTACAGCACTAAAATAATTGTTACACCAAAAGGCGATTGACCAATTAGATTGCAGAAAGGTTAGAGTAATATATTTTTTCATACTGTTTTGATTAGTACCATGTAATTATTCTTATGAGGATTTCTTTCTGTATTCTTTTGTAGTACAGTCCAGATGATTTAAATCTGAATATAAGCTTTACTTTGAAACTCAAGTACTTTGGCCACCTAATGAGAAGGAAGGATTCACTGGAGAAGAGCCTAATGCTGGGAAAGATTGAGGGCAATAGAAGAAGGGGACGACAGAGAATGAGAGGGCTGGATGGAGTCACTGAAGCAGTAGGCGTGAATTTAAATGGACTCCAGAAGATGGCAGAGGACAGGAAGACCTGGAGGAACGTTGTCCATGGGGTCGCGATGGGTCGGACACGACTTCGCAATTAACAACAACAACAACAATAAGCTTTACTAGTGTAATCATAAAAGATGCCTGTCATACTATTAAGAAATGATGCTCACATTTGAAGTTGCAAGAATTGTCTCTCATTTGCATTGATTACTGTAAGGTATTAATTTTATGAGCCATCTGAACAATGTGGTAGAAATAGAAGACAAGTAAAATAAATACATTTCTCATGGTTGACCTGATCTGTACACCTTGCTAAGTTATGGTGTTTGTTTTTCTAGTTGTCTTTGAGTTATGTCAAAATACATCCTGTATTTTATTAAAGTACATCCTTTTATGTTCTGTATGTGATATATTTGAAAATAACAGCACTTTCCTTGTACCATTAAATCTGTTAAATACCACAATGTTAGCTGTGTGTTTTTGTGAAAGACTTCATGACCCTTGTGTATAAAATTTTTTTTACAAAAATAAAAATATTTAAAATGTGATACGTGTGAAATGTATTTCTCAGTACAGATAATATTATGGGAATTGCTATGCATAATTTTATTTCATTACATTTTTCTGTTGATATATTAATAATTATTAGCCAGACACCTCATTTGGTGAAATCTTTGCAAGTGTTAAATAGACAAGTTTTTCCTTTACTGGACTTTCACAAGTTTTTAGTTAGTATATACACTGTACATTTGAAAAATTCAAGACTTACATAACAATTGTATTATATGCCTTCTCATATAACAAATTGGAAAAGCATCAGGAGACAATTGTTCATTTCTTCCAGCAGGAACAGTTGCACTATTCTTTCAGGAAATAAATTTATATGAAGAGTAAGAGGAGAAACATCTGAACTATTGAAGGAATTGATGCTGACACCTCAATAAAAAGAGTACTGTCTTTTTAAAGTTAAGGCAGGCTGCATTCCTATGAAATGAATGACAATAGTTTTTGATATGCCAAATAGCAAAAACATTTTTTGTTTTTAGTCTTTAGCTAAAAACTATTTTTACCATTTCCAGAAAACATTGTTAAACTTAATGAAACAGAACTGGGGAGTAGAAACTTAAATCCAATATTTTTCTCTAGGATTTGTTACAATGTTAGGGTTTAAAAATATCAAAAGAAAAATCCAACAATACAGCTGGGGTTAGTAACGAATTAACATACAAATTTCCAACAATTTGCATGCAGGTTTCGCCATTACAGCAATAGCTTTATCTTTCCCAATCACCTTGCTGAATTATTATATAGCTTTTGTTTATTCAACTCAGTGCCCATTTCCTCAATGCTGATGACAAAGGATATCTTTTTTTTTTTTTTAGAAAAGAAATGGTTGCAAAACTGGACTGGTAGGCTTATGGTAAAATAATACTCTTCAACTCGGATGACCCTGCTCTTAAATCGAGAGAAGAGTTAGAATCAAAAGGTTATGCCTGTTGTTGGTTTACATATCAACAACTGAAAGAGAGATTTAAACTAGATAAAAAGTTATGGGCTTGACTTCGTTAAAAATGAATTTGAAACATAATTGTGAGGTAGTGATGAACTTATTGCTGAAGTTTATAAAATGCTATTGAAATTGAATTTGGAAAATGAACATAAAAACATTGTATGTACAGTGGGCAAGGAAATTTGGATATAATGTGATGCTGGAACAATCGGAGAATATATGGATGTAAAGCTTAAAATTTACATTGAATTACAATTTAAAAGAAAACTTTTATAAAATGATGTATCATTGATATTTAACACCTAATAAGCTATCTAGAATGTACAAAGATATTTCAAATGAATGCTGGAGATGTAAATGTAAAGAAGGGACCTTTTATCACTTATGGTGGACATGTTATAAAGCAAAGAAAGAAGGATTCATATTTTAATACAAAAAATCCTTAAAGTAAAGATAAAGATGAAATCAGAAATTTTTCTTTTGGGTTTAATAGAAAAAGACTTGGAAATTTTTTTGGGAACTTTGATCTTGTATAGGTTGATGGCAGTAAGACTACTGTATGCACAAAAATAGAAGGACATTTCAATTCCCATTATGGATTGAATGGCTACAGAAGTTGATGGAGTTGGCGGAGATGGCTAAGTTGTCTGTTTTGATTAAAGAAAAGAATATAAACACTTGCATTCAAACTACCCAGGGCTTGCTGGGATTTGCTATAACTGTAAGTTTTATCAGGGGTGCAGCTCAAAACATAGCGGAGGCCTTGCTGATTGGATCTATTGCGTTCAAACTACCCAGTGCTTGCCGGGATTTGCTCAAAACGTAGCAGCCTCCTTGCCTAATTGCGTGCAAATTATATAACTAAAAATCAAAACAGCAGCGGTACAGTTAGGGCAAGTGCATCTGAGATTCCTTATATCTAAGAATGTCTGGCATGGTTCAGTGCAACACTTGTTTTGCAGCTGTTTTTCGCAGTACCCTTTTCAATCTTGGAAACTATCCTATCTGTAAACAAATCACTAGTCTACAAGGACAGATTATTTATCTAGGGTCTGTAATCTCTGCTCTTCAGGCAGAAACTAGGTGTCCGGTTCAGCCCTTCTACTCCATTGAGCCTCCGCGCTATCAGCCCCCTCTACCACAAAGATCCTGCAGGAGAAGGGCAGTGTGGACAACCGTGGGATCTGGCAGGGTGAGAGCTGTGAACCACAAACACAAAGCTTTCAGTGTGTCCCTGCACAACAGATACAGTGCCCTTGCTGACCTTAATAGGGACATTAAGGAGACAGGTAAAAGTATTTGTGATGATAACTCAAATAAGCAGGGGATCTTGGTCCAAGATGAAGAACTTGTTTTCGACAGGGAGAAGTGCAAATCAGGTATTACACATGCAAGAACAGAAAGGCATCCAAAAAGAGAAGCCACCTTCTGGTTGGTGATTCAATTATAAGGGATGTAAATTTAGGAAAGGACACAGATTTCGAAAGAGGTCAGGTGTCTTCCAGGTGCTACTGCCAGTAGGGACAAGAACTGTATTTGTAAAATAATCAAGAATACCAGCAAGGACTGTGATATGGAGGCTATTGTGCATCTTGGCACTAACGGTCTGTCTCAAAAACATGTACTCTCTGTGCAGAATGATTTCCAGAGTCTGGGGCAGGAACTTAGCAGACTGGGCTGTAGGCTTATTTTTTCAGAGGTTCTACCAGTACATAAGGAGCAAAATGGAAAAGGCCAGCATATAGCACAATTCAATATGTAGCTAAAGGAGTGGAGTAAAGGGGAAGGCTTTGGATATATTAGTCACATGTCAGCAGCTGGTCCAATGAAAAAATGTACAAAAGAGATGGTTTGCATCCATCAAAGAAAGGGACTGAGTTACTCGGCTATAAATTCACAGATTTTCTGGAGGAATATTTAAACTAAACAGCGGGGACAGTGAGCTAATTGATACAGAACATCCCTGTCCCCGGAAATCTAAAAATTATAGGGTTATCAGTGCATGTAACATAGATGTTGTTGGAATATTCATGAGCAGGAAGAGTCGTGGTAACTCAGTCAGCCAATGTGAAGAAAGTGCTACTGAGTCTGTGCAAAAAAGGTATTGAGTTAGAAGCTGAATTTTCAGTCTCAAGTTTGTCTCTGTATCTCTCTATAAGAAGTCTTCAATTGAGCTATGTTGCTGTAAAGAAGAATGTATGGTATTGTAAATATTTTTATATGAATATAAAGAAGTTATTTTGAATCAGCTAAATGCAGTCAACTGTGAGAGCTTCTGATTTATTTTTTCACCAATAGAGAAATTAAAATTCTCTAACAGGCTATGGGCCCAGAGCTTACTAAGGACTGCATTGTAATTTAAAGCTGGAAGAAATTGCCTGTGTTTAGAAAGTATAAGAACAAGGCAGAATTAGCAGAAAGGCTGCAATGGAATTTGAGGAAAATTCTGTGCCTTCTTTGGGCCAGAAGAATTACATTGTGTGGGCTGCTAAAATGGAATGCTTGCTCAAGGCTAAAGAGCTGTGGCATATTGTAGAAAATCCACCACAAGTGTTTGCAGCTGCTGATCAGAAGAGTCATAATCAAGCAATGGCTTATCTCATCTTGAATTTAGATGATGAACAATTTCTAAATGTTGCAAATTTAAAGACTGCAAAGGAGATTTGGTTGAAGTTGAGAGCTGTGCACGTGAATGTTTCTGCATGCAATATAGTGCAATTGTCAAGAAAACTTTACAGGGCCTGTTTGCAACCAGTTGAATCTGTGGAACAGCATTTAAATAAAATGCAAAGTTTATTTTTGGACTTAGAACAATGTGGGATTAAATTCCCTGAGTCCCGGAAGGTTTTATTGGTGTTGAACAGTTTAGATAAAACCTGGGGCACAGTTTCTACTATATTTGAGTGTAAAGAAGAGCAAGACTTAAATTTTGAGGCTTTAAAAGCATGTTTGCTTAATGAACAAGAAAAGCGCCATTTTAGAAGCAGCCACAAGAAGGTGAAATTCCTGAGGAGGGGGTCCAGACTGCAAGTCTCCGAAGAAGAAACATTTTGCAAGCAGAGAGCTAAGCGAGAAAATAATTGCTACATTTGTGGAGCAAAGACACATCTGAAAAGGAACTGTTTGCAAAGGAACAATTTGCAGCAAAGGACATTTGTGCAACCAAAAAGGACTGATTTGCAAAAGGAACATTTTGGTGTTACAAAAGTTTGCTATAGCAACAACAGAGACAAGTGGCTAATAGATAGTGGGGCAAGTCAAACAATTGTTAATGACTCTGAATTATTTTGCAGGTTTGTTCCACTAGCACAAGAAACTGTGGCTTTGGCAAATGGCCAGAAAGCACAAGTCATTGGAAGAGGCGATGTAAAAATTCCATATTTGGAATCAAAGTTTACCAATGTGCTTTGTGTACCTGAAATGGAACATAATTTGTTAACTGTGTCTAATT